CCCTTTGGCAACTAGAACCCCCAGGTCTCTTTCCTCCAGGCAGCTCCAGCCACACTTCCCCCAGCCTGTAGCACTGCATGCATATATCATCTCAGCTACGAAATTCTCCCAGTTTCACAGCATCCTTGCATTCCCACCCTTGGAATTCCATCCTTATTCCTCAACTAGTCATCAAAATGTTCAGCCGACTGTCGGCTGAACAGGAGCCAGCAGTGTGCCCAGGTGGCCAAGAAGGCCACCAGCATCCTGGCCTGTATCAGGAACAGCGTGGTGAGTAGGGCCCGAGAGGTGATTGTCCCCCTGTACTGGGCACTGGTGAGGCCCCACCTCGAGTACTGTGTCCAGTTTTGGGCCCCCTACCACAAGAGGGACATTGAGGTGCTGGAGCGGGTCCAGAGAAGGGCAACGAAGCTGGTGAGGGGTCTGGAGCACAAGTCTTATGAGGAGAGGCTGAGGGAGCTGGGGGTGTTCAGTCTGGGGAAGAGGAGACTGAGGGGAGACCTTCTGGCTCTGTACAAGTACCTGAAAGGAGGGTGTAGAGAGGTGGGGGTTGGTCTCTTCTTCCAAGCTACAGACGATAGGACAAGGGGTAATGGCTTCAAGTTGCACCAGGGGAAGTTCAGGTTGGATATTAGGAAACATTTCTTTACTTAAAGGGTTATCCAGCATTGGAATGGACTGTCCAGGGAGGTGGTGGAGTCACCATCCCTGGAGGGATTGAAGAAACGTGTAGACATGGCTCTTCAGGGCATGCTCTAGTGCCCAAGATTATTGGTTTGTGGTGGGATGTTGTGTGGGTGGGTGATGGTTTTTGGTTTGGTTGTTGTTGTGTGTTTAGGGGGTGGGTGGTGGTGTGTGGTTTTTTGTGTGGGTGTTTGTGGTTTTTTGTTTGGTTTGGGTTTTTTTTGTGGTTTGACTCGATGATCTCCGAGGTCCCTTCCAACCACTACAATTCTGTGATTCTGTGAAAATTGAGTATGGAAGTTGTCAGAGAAACTAGAGCAGGGACTCACCAACATCCCCCTCCGTCGGAAACCCATCATGCAGAGCCTGCACTTGAACATGAAGCTTTCGTAGTCCGTGGAAGCGATCCGAGGCTTGAAGGTTTTCGAGCGGCTGATGCGGTCGGCTTTCTTGGCCTCCCTCTCCGGGTTGTGCATCCTCTGCATGTGCTCTCGCAGCTTGTCTTTCCTCTAAGGAAAAGAGCAAATCCAGGAGGAAAACGGTGAGACAAGGTTGCACAGCGTTGGACAACTCAAGAGGAACCCTTCAGGTTTGGGTTTATCCTTCAAACCAAGCTGAGGTTGCTCAGCCACAAAAACAGGAGCCAAAGTAACACTAGTTTAGCAGCCTCAATGATAATCAACTCCTCCACTCTGGCTTTTCATTGAATTTATCTAAAATAGTGCTCAAGTCAGCTGCAAACTTGCATCAAGTAATGCTCTTGGACTGAGGAGGACCCTCAAGTCCTACAACAGTGCTGAACCTCGAGCAATCCAGCCTCTCTGGACACACTCTGTCTAGAATGTGCTTCTTCCCCCAAAAGCATCCAGTGCCTCAGTAGCCCAGAGGAAATGAAGTGATGAGGAGCAGGCTGCTGCCACCACACCTGCCCCAGCTCACAGTCTGCTCCATCTGTACTGGAGGGGTCTGGAAAGGCATCTGGATGTCACAAGATGCACATCCCACGGACCACAGGCACCTCGACCAGGGATATTATTACTCCACTGGTATCATAGAATTGCCCAGGCCAGAAGGGACCTCCAAAGGTCATCTAGTCCGACCTCCCCACAGTCAGCAGGGACACCCCCAACTAGACCAGGTTGCCCAGGGCCTCGTCGAGCCTCTCCTTGAATATCTCCAGGGATGGGGCCTCAACCACCTCCCTGGGCAACCTGTTCCAGTGCTCCACCACCCTCCCAGTGAAGAACCCTCTCCTCATCTCCAGTCTAAATCTGTTCCCCTCCAGCTTGAAGCCATTGCCCCTCGTCCTGTCACTGCAGGCCTTTCTAAACAGGCTCTCCCCAGCCTTCCTGTAGGCTCCTTTCAGGTACTGGAAGGCCGCTATTAGGTCTCCCCGGAGCCTCCTCTTCTCCAGGCTGAACAACCCCAGCTCCCTCAGCCTGTCCTCGGAGCAGAGGTGCTCCATCCCCCTGATCATCCTTGTGGCCCTCCTCTGGACCCTCTCCATCAGGTCCATGTCCTTCTTATATTGAGGGCTCCAGACCTGCACACAATACTCCAGGTGAGGTCTCACCAGAGCAGAGTCAAGTGGCAGAATCCCCTCTCTGGACCTGCTGGCAACGCAGCTTTTGATGCAGCCCAGGATGGGATTGGCCTTCTGGGCTGCAAGTGCCCACTGCCTGCTCATGTCCAGCTTCTCCTCCACCAGCACCCCCAAGTCCCTTTCCTCAGGGCTGCTTTCCAATCCCTCACCCCCCAGTCTGTACTGATGGTGAGGATTGTTCCGGCCCAGGTGCAGAACCTTGCATTTGCTCTTGTTGAACCTCATGAGGTTCACCTGGGCCCACCTCTCCAGCCTGTCCAGGTCCTTTTGGATGACATCCCATCCCTCTGGTGTATCCACAACACCACACAGCTTGGTGTCATCCGCAAACTTGCTGATGGTGCCTTTAATCCCCCTGTCTATATCATTGATAAAAATGTTAAACAGTATTGGCCCCAGCACGGACCCTTGAGGAACACCACTTGTGACTGGTCTCCATCTGGACTTGTTTCTATCAGCAAGAAGTTTTCTTAACTCAACTCCAGTAAAGAATGGAGTTCTCTGCCCGGAGCAGGAACCACCCAGTCAAGAGTTGTCTCACCTTGAACTGCTTCCCACACGTGGAGCAGAGGAAGTCCTTGCGGTCCGAGTGTCTCAACATGTGGAGCCGCAGCTTGTCGGGGCGGCAGAAAGCCTTGTCACATTCTGTGCACTGGTAGATCTTCTCCGAGTGGAAGCTGCGCACGTGCTTCTTCACCTACAATTCATAGCAAAAACCAGAAGTTATTCAAAAGAGAAGAGCGTGTGGGAAACTTAGCAAAAAATAAAAAAGAGAGAAAAAGAGTTCTCTAATCTGCTTTGGCTTAAAAAGTACTTTATCATCAGAACAGTTGATGCCTTGGCAATAGTTTCTACAAAGCCCTAACATCTCCGTGATCCATCTGGATGGGGCAATTTGATTTCCTCAAGACTGATTCTTGAAGGCATCAGCCACTGCACAGTTGAGCACTTAATGGGCAGCAAAAGACCACGATGTACCAGTGTGACTGAGTCATCCTCGAGTTACCGCCTTCATTATCTTCATTTATAAGAAATCCAAATGCAAAGACTAATTCCTTTCAATCAGAGAGAATGAGCCTGCAGTTACCATTGGCAAAACCAAACAACTAAAACTTAGAAAAGCATTTATTTGCACGCCATTCCTGAATGGCAATTACTTCCACATACTTTGAGACTATCCTTGACCTCTGCAAGCATCTACTGGGATTTTTTTTTCCCCCGATAAAGTAACTAATGAGGTTTGACATTTGAAATCCAAGCACTCCTCAAGAAATGGATCTCTAATGAATTCTTTACCATCTTCTAATACCCATCATACACAGAACGACTCGGTATCTTTATCTGTTCCACATCAAAGTATTTAAGTGGGCAGCAATCCGTGGCGACTAGACTTAATTATCACGTAGCACCAAGTGAAAAAATCATCTTTAAATTCCAAAATAGAGGTGGATAGTTGGAAAAAAAGCCGTGGGACCTTCTTCTGACTGGCTCAGTTTCACCAGAAAGTTTATGGGGAATTAGGTTGCAGCACAGAATTTCTGAATCATCCAAATTTTTCCTTGTTCATCTTTTACAGGAGATGAAGGGGTTTTTTTGCCAGGATGGAATTGTGTTAGTAAATCACTTTTCCCCATCCTTTCCCTTTTAGGCTGTCAGTTCCTGTTACTTGCCATAAATTGAGATGTAGAAACCCAGTTTCAGCAAGAACATATCAAGCTCTTTGTCCATAAGAAGGATAATGAACATGAACATGGCACGTCTCAGGTTTTTCTTTCTGAGCATAGAAAGAGCACCCTCAAATTCTATTCATGATCTTCTCCAATGGCTCTGCACGCTGCACAAAGTAGTTACTTTACTCCCTACTCCAGTGATTTAGAGGAAAGAGCACTTTAATAACCTAAGACAACATCTAGCAATGCTTGGTCACTCTTCCTTTTTAATTTCTGAGTGACGTGGAGCCCTTTATCCCATGAGAACGCTGTGTGACATAAGAACAACACCAAAAAATTCATACACAGAATGTTTGCAAGGGACTTGGAAGAGCAGTGCTTCCAATCAGCACAGCATCTCACCTGGATAAAATCTGGAAAGCGTTTTTTGCAGGTGGGGCAGGTGAAATAGCCATCGTTGACGTGGATGGCCACGTGATCTTTCAGCAGATCCAAGCGGTCGAAGGATTCGGGACAGAAAATGCAAGAGTAGGTTTTCTGGTCCATGTGGAACTTCATGTGGCTCTCCAGAGCGCCGCTGTTGATGAAGCCCTTGTTGCAGATGTCACAAGTCAAAGGGCAGTTCCCTTCCCTTCCGTGGAACCTCAGGTGCTGATCCAGCTTGTCCTTCTCACGGAAAGCCTTCCCACACTGGAGGCATTTGAAGGGGCGAAAGGATTTCCGGATGAAGAGGTGCTGAAGGGCTGCATTCTGAAAAAAAACATTTGAAGGGACCATTACTTTTAGATTCCACATCCATATCGTTTCAGAATTAAATATACCAGATGATAAAATATATCATCAGATGATTAAATATACCAGATGATACCCCAGGCAGTGCTCCAAGCTGGGGGCAGAGTGGCTGGAGAGCTGCCGGGCAGAAAAGGACCTGGGGGTGTTGGTCGACAGTTGGCTGAACAGGAGCCAGCAGTGTGCCCAGGTGGCCAAGAAGGCCACCAGCATCCTGGCCTGTATCAGGAACAGCGTGGGGAGTAGGGCCCGAGAGGTGATTGTCCCCCTGTACTGGGCACTGGTGAGGCCTCACCTCGAGTACTGTGTCCAGTTTTGGGCCCCCTACCATAAAAAAGACATTGAGGGGCTGGAGCGGGTCCAGAGAAGGGCGACAAAGCTGGTGAGGGGTCTGGAGAATAAGTCTTATGAGGAGAGGCTGAGGGAGCTGGGGGTGTTCAGCCTGGAGAAGAGGAGGCTGAGGGGAGACCTTATTGCTCTCTCCAACTCCCTGAAAGGAGGGTGTAGAGAGGGGGGGGTCGGTCTCTTCTCTCAAGTCACAGGCGACAGGACGAGAGGAAATGGCCTCAAGTTGCCCCAGGGGAGGTTCAGGCTGGATATTAGGAACAATTTTTTCCCTGAAAGGGTTCTCAGCCATTGGAATGGGCTGCCCAGGGAGGTGGTTGAGGCCCCATCCCTGGAGGTGTTCAAAAGAGGGGTTGATGTAGTGCTGGGAGGTCTGGTTTAGTGATGATGCTCCTTGTTTGTTGTGTGGGTGTCTATTTTTGTCAGTTAGGTTGATGGTTGGACAAGATGATCTTTAAGGTCCCTTCCAACCTAGAAGATTCTGGGATTCTGTGATCACTGAACCTAAACTTCAAAAAAAAAAAATGCTTTTATGTTATAGATAATGTCTCCTTTTTAAAGAAAGGGCTGTGACAGGCAGAAATTAAAGGATATACCTGCAGTTACACACTGAATTAGAAGGACACAATGCAGGAGTTTCCTCTCCAGACCCTGTTTTCTGCCCATTTAGCTAACTTTTATCCCTACCACAGCATTTTTCTGTAAAATCAAAACTAAATCCTCTCTGAAGTACAGACCCGGGCCTGAGAAAAGCTGCAATTCCAGCTGATTTTTGGGGATTGGGTCAAAAGTTCAGCTACCACACAATGGAAGGACAAGCTAATGCCCTGTCTTTCACAGGAGTGGGGCTTATGAAATTCCACAGCCCTTTACAAAAATCAGCTTCTGCACCAAAGATCACCAAAGCGATTCTGTCTTTCACGGGAGCGGGGCTTATGAAATTCCACAGCCCTTGACAAAAAATCAGCTTCTGCACCAAAGATCACCAAAGCGATGCGCAGCGGTGGTTTAGCATTGCCTGGAAAACCTTGGGTGGAACAGTCATTCATTCAACATTTTTGTTATTAGAAGAAAAAGGGAGTTTCAGAACATCACAGCAGGGGCAGAATGGCAGGTTTACAAGCAAGAGGTAAGAACTTGTGAGCAATTCACTTCTCTTTGCTATCTAGCACATTGTGTGTGCAAGGGCCTGAAAATGAAGAAAAGAGGAAAGAAACACACACTGGTGCTAAATCAAAAGGAACTCTGCTAAATTCTGTTGTCTGCTCAAAGGGGAGTTGGATTATACGCAGCCCAACTTGAAATTGCTTTTCTTGGTGTTGCAAGAAACTTTAAGAATATTGTGAATTGAGCATTGTGCAAACGTTCATGTTAAAATTTAATACGCTGGGCTGCTCTTCTCTGCTTTTCTCCACTCCTACTGTGTGCACAATTTCTCTCCTCAGTCCCTGCTTTCTTCTGGTGGTGTGTTCTCCTTCAGTCTACCTTTTCTGAACCATTTCAGTGTTATTTCTTCCCTTCCTGCCCTTCCCCTTCAGAATGTTATAGAGAACGTGAACACACATTCAATAGTACATACTTCTCCAGGAGATGATACATTCAAGACTTCTGCAAACAGATTTCCCTGGTCTCCTCTCTTTTCTTGGGGGAATGTCTGGGCTGACATTCTCCATGTCCCTTAGGTGCATCCCAACTGAGAAAAAGTTAGGAGCTTTTCTGCTGGAATGAGGGAACAGCTTGGGAATACTGTGAACTGCTGTGCTGGAGATGGAGTTAGTGAACCTGAACCATCCTTTTCACCATCTGAACTGCAGAGGGAAACCTATACTTTCATTCTAGAAAAAGGAACATGACAGCAACTGTTTTGCTATAAAAAAAAAAAAGCTAAGTTTCATAGAGGAGCCCCAGATGAGACAGCAACCCCCAGGAGGGCATCTCCATCCTCTGTTTTACCAGTGGAGACAGAGCAGATCCCTGTATTCCCTCCTGGGGGTTGCTGTCATCTCCATTCTCTGTTTTACCAGTGGAGACAGAGCAGATCCCTGTATTTCCCACTGAGTTGGAAAGATAAGACACATGCCATGCAAAAATTAACATGTTGCTTGGAGTCAGAAGTGTGTAATTTTCCCCTTAACTACAGGGAGATGTTAATAAGTAGTTGAAGAGCTGGACTTCAAGTTCTTAACTCTACTGTTACCACCTGTAACCTCGACACTCTGACTCTAAGGCAGCAGTCCAGGCTTCAACAGCATGTAAATCAGCACAGTCCCTCTGCTGTCTCAAAGGCTACAGAAGGGTGAAGCCTTTTACCACTCTTTGGTTAGATAAACCATATCTATATGGTTTATCAGCTATAAAACCAGGAAAAAGAGAACTAACTGTTGTCTCATTAATGAGTAACATCAATCCAGTGCAAATAATTGCCTAATCAAATCCTCCACAGCTTTAGGATGGATATTATAGTATTTCATCCACGTAGCTTACTATTCCTATAACATTCAACTTAAATTTGCCATTCATTAGGATGAAAAGAACTAGAAGAACTGTTGTTTGGGTAACAGTTTAGGACACTGGTTGCTTAAAAAAGAACAGATGTGACAATTTACGATGCGGGGTCAGTCAGGAAGCACTGAACAGAAGTTGGACAAAAACAACATGGAAGGCGATGGCGTTACGTACCATTCAATCAGATACAGCAAAAACCCAAGGAAACAAAAAAAAAAAACCCAAACCTACCTGCAGCTCCAGCTGAGCAGGCAGCATTGAGGGAGAGAAAAATACTCGTGTTATGCAATGGACTTTAAAACAGAAGCCTTGACTTCTGCAACAGTCACGCTTCTGGGGGTCACTACGAGGGCCAGCTCTTCAGGTGGAGCTTACTCTTGACTCAGGCAAAACTCCTGGGATGTTTTTTGGCTCAGGAAACACTAAGCAGATCTTCAAGGTTTACCCTGTAGTTAATAACTGCCCAAGGGGAGTTAAAGGGCACAGATAAAACCCACAGATAATCTCGGAAGGTGTTTCGTGACCTTTCATGTTTTCTCTGAGTTGGTTAATGACGTGATGCATTTCTGCAGAGCCCCAGTGAGAATGAAACCCTTGTAGAAGGGAATAATTAGGGCAGGATGTCAACAGGGCATGGGTTAGAAGGGTGAAAAAGCTAAGAATTAGGGACTTTTTCAACCTCATCTTACTGTTCATACTCCTAATTATACACCCAGTTGCATTTCTTTCAGCGTGAAGGAAGTGACTGTGCTTTCCAAACCACGTCCCTATCCCTGCCAGTTGCTTCCTCTGAGTAAAGCACTCACCTACACAAAGGACATTTTAGATCTGTATGTGAAAAACAACAACAAAAAAAAAGGCAAATTGGAAATGCAGATGTTTCTGGGATCAGCCCACAGACACTCTGGACGCTGCCCAGAATGGAATTCAAAACAAATATTCCTTTTTGGCTGCGGAGCACACTGTTCCTGTAATTTGTTACAAGAGGATCTTGAAGAGTTGGGGCACCTCTTTTCAATCGAAGGTCTGATCTCCAAGGAAACTCCACAGGCTCTAGAGCAGATGCTGAGATATGAAGTGTTCCTATCAGGAGTTGAACCCTGGGGCACCAGAGTCAGTGCTTCTCAGGGCATCGCCGCCTTAAACCTTAGAAAAACTGAAGGAATTTACAAAGAACAATATTTTGACAATAAAATCCTAGGTGAGTAATAAGGAACACAAAGAACTACTGTTTTGGACAATAAAATCCTAGGTGAGTAATAAGGAAGGACTAGAGCTACAGAGGTCTCCAGATCAAGACTTTCTTCCTGTTCTTTGGGAGTGAACAATGTACTACACATCTTAAACCCAAATGTTTGTTTGCTTATAAAATTAAGTGCATGTTATGATGAGAAGGTGCTGGGAAGAGCTGAACTTTCAGCTGGTCGGGTGCTGGAGCTCGCTGTGATTTTTCAGTGCTTAGAAAAATTAACACCTTCTAGTTCCCTCTTTTCTCCAGCTCTCGTTGCTCACAGCCTGAAGGTGCTAAGCAACCAGCCCCCTGCCATTCTGCCACTGCCTCTACCTTGAAACACCTCCAGGAACACGAGCTGCCAGATTTGAGAGAATTTAGGGAGATTTGGAGACACAAACATGTCACACCAAGGACTAAAAACCACCGCTGCACCCCTCTTGGCTGTCATCCATTTGTGATGGATTTCCAGGGAACAAAACCCACATCACAAGACAAAGAAGTACCTTCAGAATTTCTGTCCCTTTCTTGCCTCATTTATTGTTTAAGAAAATCTGAAGTTCACATCTTGGGTTCAAAAGTTCAGGAAAACAGGCAACACCACCTCTTTCCATCACACCCAGGCTTCTACCTTCTACTGAGGAAGTTGTGGCATATCATAAGCCATAAAACCCCAAATTATTTACTGTCAAAAACTCAGCATCTCTCTTTGCACTCTGTTATCCATCCTTCAATACATTCAGTAAAAATCCTCCAAGCTTTTAATGTATGAAAAATCAAATTACTGGTAGAAATTTGCCATTCAGAGAATGCAAGATGTCCCTGCATTTATGGGGTAACCCCACTGCTGCTCTCACACACATACTGCTACAAACCCCCAGCAAAATTTGGCTCAACATCTTCCTAAAGGGAAGAGTTACTCAACTTCTTTCTAATCCTTTCTCATCCCCTAAAAATGAAGCCTTACCCCAATTGCAGCTGTTCCTTTCTGTCATCAAAAAAATTTTTACACACGGAAGAAAAAGATTTTAGGCTAAATAAACCCATCTCACAGTTACACAGCTTTAAGGATTATTTGCTTGAATCATTTTCCTTCCCACTCCTAGTAGAGAAAAACCAGCTCACCCAGTTGACACAAAGCTCAGGCTCAAAGTGTTAGAAAGCTCTTAGCACAAGGTTTAATCTCAAAGACGGGCAGGTTTTTTCTACCCCAAGAAAGGACTTTATAGCTAAATAGCATCATCATCATCATCAATTAAATGGATTTAAACTGAGGGGCCTGGTTCCTCTCTGGCAACTATTTGCAAGAGAAGAGTTCTGAGAGACACAGATGGTGCTGGGAAGGAGTCATTAGTCTGTGTCACAGCACCACCATTCAGCTGGCTGTTTGTAGCCCTCCTGCTTGCCAGCTCAGAGGGACTGTGTTCCTATGAAAGAATTACAGTGCTGGAATTGACTGGGCTCCAACTGGTGACCAGTCCTCACTAGCATCTCATGAGATACCAGCAAGGGTCCCTGCTGGGGCCAATACTGTTTAACATTTTTATCAATGATATAGACAGGGAGATTAAAGGCACCATCAGCAAGTTTGCGGACGACACCAAGCTGTGTGGTGTTGTCGATACACCAGAGGGAGGGGATGTCATCCAAAAGGACCTGGACAGGCTGGAGAGGTGGGCCCAGGTGAACCTCATGAGGTTCAACAAGAGCAAATGCAAGGTTCTGCACCTGGGCCGGAACAATCCTCACCATCAGTACAGACTGGGGGGTGAGGTGTTAGAAAGCAGCCCTGAGGAAAGGGACTTGGGGGTGCTGGTGGAGGAGAAGCTGGACATGAGCAGGCAGTGGGCACTTGCAGCCCAGAAGGCCAATCCCATCCTGGGCTGCATCAAAAGCTGCGTTGCCAGCAGGTCCAGAGAGGGGATTCTGCCACTTGACTCTGCTCTGGTGAGACCTCACCTGGAGTCTTGTGTGCAGGTCTGGAGCCCTCAATAGAAGAAGGACATGGACCTGATGGAGAGGGTCCAGAGGAGGGCCACAAGGATGATCAGGGGGATGGAGCACCTCTGCTCCGAGGACAGGCTGAGGGAGCTGGGGGTGTTCAGCCTGGAGAAGAGGAGGCTCCGGGGAGACCTAATAGCGGCCTTCCAGTACCTGAAGGGAGCTACAGGAAGGCTGGGGAGAACCTGTTTAGAAAGGCCTGCAGTGACAGGACGAGGGGCAATGGCTTCAAGCTGGAGGGGAACAGCTTTAGACTGGAGATGAGGAGAGGGTTCTTCACTGGGAGGGTGGTGGAGCACTGGAACAGGTTGCCCAGGGAGGTGGTTGAGGCCCCATCCCTGGAGATATTCAAGGTGAGGCTCGACAAGGCCCTGGGCAACCTGGTCTAGTTGGGGGTGTCCCTGCTGACTGCGGGGGGGTGGGACTAGATGGCCTTTGGAGGTCCCTTCTGGCCTGGGCAATTCTATGATTCTATGATTCTTTACATGAGATTTGCCTCCCTCTCCGTGCAAAGAAAAATTGCTGGCAACGAGATGCTTTATTCAGGATTTGGAAATGGCTAGGAGAGTGGGAAGAAGAACCCAGCTGGGTCCTGGTAGGCAAGGTCCAGCCTTCTCCAGGTGAGAGGAGATGTGATCCACCATCTCCTCTTTGCTTACCCTGATCCTCTTGGCTCTCCTCATGTCATCTGCTGTCATGGTGCTCTGCGTGGGCACCGTGCTGCTCTCCTCGTGCTGTGGTTGGATTTGGAGCGGGTGGTTTTCCTCCTCCTGCTGCTGCTGCTGCTGCTCCAGTGCCGACTGCGGCTCCGATGGCACCGGAGTCTCTTCCTGCTGCTCCAAACCGTTCAGCGCGCCTTGTCCGGCCTCATCAAACTGCCCCTTGCTGGAAAAATGCAGCAAGTCCTGAAATCGTAAATCATACAGCCAGTGATTATTCCCCCCACCCACTGAAAAAACGCTTTGATAATACTCAGACAGTAAGATTTCTATATATTTCATCACAAGATCTAAACAAAATGCGTCTACACTTTCCTACTGTGTCTCATGGATGCTCTCAGATCCCCCCCACCTACAGTGATAATATTCCCAACACCAGGGATGAAGGGTGCAGGTAGGTGACTCTTGGCCATCACAGTGTCTGATTGGACCCAGACAATTAAAATGACCCAATAATTAATAACCAAGAAGGCTCTTCCGCACTGTTGACCCTATTACTGCTCTGACCAAAGATGACCCCTCAGAAATTTTACGACCACGGAGCAGGGAAAGCAGAGAAAAATGTGTCCCGTTGAAATTATCCTCACTTTGAAACATCATCAGGGATTGTCATGCAGTGTCTTCTCCTTCCTCACAGACTAGCTGGAGAGTGACAAATGAGATCTTTATACTCTGCACTCTCTGCTTTGCTCTCCAGTTTCCAAGCCCTGCACACTCTCATCTACCCAGCTGCGTTTATATTTATCACACAAAGCTGTTTTTTCTCCTTTTTGCATTAGCAAAAAAGCAATGGGAAGGTGTTGAGAGCAGGAAGCACATGCTAAAAATCTACATTCTTTCCATAGAAGTTCCAATAACTCCTCTGGGATGGAATCCTTTTGTATTACGAGAGGAAAAAAAACCACCCAAACATAGATTTTTATTTGACATAGAATCATAGAATTGCCCAGGCCAGAAGGGACCTCCAAAGGGCATCTAGTCCCACCCCCCCGCAGTCAGCAGGGACACCCCCAACTAGACCAGGTTGCCCAGGGCCTCGTCGAGCCTCTCCTTGAATATCTCCAGGGAAGGGGCCTCAACCACCTCCCTGGGCAACCTGTTCCAGTGCTCCACCACCCTCCCAGTGAAGAACCCTCTCCTCATCTCCAGTCTAAATCTGTTCCCCTCCAGCTTGAAGCCATTGCCCCTCGTCCTGTCACTGCAGACCAGAGCAGAGTAAAGTGGCAGAATCCCCTCTCTGGACCTGCTGGCAACGCAGCTTTTGATGCAGCCCAGGATGGGATTGGCCTTCTGGGCTGCAAGTGCCCACTGCCTGCTCATGTCCAGCTTCTCCTCCACCAGCACCCCCAAGTCCCTTTCCTCAGGGCTGCTTTCCAATCCCTCACCCCCCAGTCTGTACTGATGGTGAGGATTGTTCCGGCCCAGGTGCAGAACCTTGCATTTGCTCTTGTTGAACCTCATGAGGTTCACCTGGGCCCACCTCTCCAGCCTGTCCAGGTCCTTTTGGATGACATCCCATCCCTCTGGTGTATCCACAACACCACACAGCTTGGTGTCGTCCGCATCACTGAGGATATCACTGATATTATCCCCATCAGCGAGGTGGGCAGACCTCCAAAGGCCTGGGACATCACCATGGTCCCATTTGACTGCACAGACACACATGAGCCAGCTCTGGGCCACGCTCCAAGCTGGCAGGATGCGAGGCCACCCCCAGTCCAGAGGCCATTCAGACCCATTAGCCTGGGACTGAGCCCAGTTGAGCCCCATCTCTCTCTGCAGTTCAGAGTTTGGGAACAGGGTTATGCTTAATTGTCTACACAGAGCTGGCTCGTGTCACATCAGCTTGCAGAGAGGGTCATCTCCCAACTGCCTGCGCTTAAAGAGACCTTTAGGGCAATTTTGCAGGCTCAGAAAATGAGCTGCAGGCTTTTATGGGTGGCTACATTCCTCCTCCTGAGTCAGCGCTGAACCATGACCCAGGGAGATGCCAGAGGAAAAAATTTTCCTCCTGAGTCAGTGCTGAACCATGACCCAGGGAGATGCCAGAGGAAAAAATTACCCCTCCAGGTAGCAGCTTTCAGCCAAGTCATAAACCAGAGCCACTCACCCCTTGGGACACCTTTCCTAAAAGGACTTGGTGACAACCTAAGTGTGGTCAGCACCAGAGAGAATTCAGCATTTTACTTCCATAAACGCATCGCATTAGGTCCCCATAGAATATAACCACCAGCCACGAGCAAGAGAATATCTTGCAATAAGAATGCCTACAGGAGGCCCTTTTGTTAATATTAAAACATCATAAAGGCTCAAACTGATTTCATCCTGCCAGCAAGTCAGGAGAGCAGGCTCTGACCTCACATATAGAAAGGACAGATAGGAACCTAAATTCCCATTACAGTTTTACTGTCTAAATTCCTTTTGCGATGCTGCGACACTGCCACAATAACCTACCTCACTGCTAAGTGCTTTGGGATGAAAGTTGCTGTAGAAATGCAAGTGATTTTACAATTTTTATAGAATTTTCTCCACTGGCAGGGAATCACAGCTAGAAAACCAACAACGACCTGGGTCTAAGTCCAAAGCACATCCTCAATTTGCAGCGATGCCCCAAATTCTTGTAGTTGAGTTCACATCCCACCAACACTTGTTTTTTTCTCCTCCCCGTCCCCCAAAATATACCTGTGTCCCTTCTTCACCCTTTTCCCCATTTTCACTGGTTACTTCCATACGCATGAATTTGGGAGGGCGCCCCGGGCGTCTGCCTGGTCCAAACCTCCTCTTTCCTCGCCCACGACCTCGGCCTCTGGCTCTGCAGAACACACAGTGCTCCAGGTTAGAGATTAAAAAAAAAAAGATGGATTTGGTATCTCCACTGATTTTATGCATTCTTTCACAGCATCACTATCCCCCCATGCAGCAAATAATAAAACTTGAAGAAATTCCGGCAGCGAAAAAAAATAGGGTACTGGCTGGTTATCTATTTATTTTGTGCTCTATGAGAAATCAAACTCCAGAAGACATTAAAATTTATTTTATTAATAGAGGGACTGAGAGGACTGCTGGCTTCTAGCAATTCTCCTACTTCCAGTGTGCTGGAAAGAATTCTCAGCTAGATGGAACAAGTGCACATGGAAAACCAATTTAAAACCTGAAGCCATGACATCCCTCCCCACAAAGGCACCATCAGAAAAAAAAAACACAGCACCAATGTCTTCTGCTCTCATGGGCATTTGTAGGTTCAGCTTTTAATTAGGTGAGGGAAAACTATCTTGCCAGCTCAATGAGGAGCCAAAACACAAAGTCTCTTTCTCCAAGCTCTCTATCTGCATACATCTGAGCTGCATCAGTTTTTCAATATTGTGGTACTGAAATATTGCAATTTTTGAAGTCATTGGCAAAAATACCGAAAGCAAATCCCAAAAAATCACCAGTTTCAAGAGGGTATTATTTCCCTCAAGCTATTTCTTTAGCAAAGCCTCTTACACCAAAGAGCTTCATGGTCCCACATTCTTACCTTCAGGCACTGCTCTCTCATGGGTACCCCAGCTGGTCAGTAAGACGTGGAGGGCAAAGACCCTTCCTTCTGGGAGTTTGGGGAAGCACCACAGCCATAGACAGACAAAACTAAAGCTTTTGGTACCTGCTGAAGAAGTCCAGCTTCTCATCGTGGGAGTTGAGGTGCTGCTGGAGCTGCTCAGAGCTCATGAAGCGACGGTTGCACTCGTAGCAGGGCCAGTTCTTCTCTTGCTCTCTGAGAACTAGGGTCAATTGGAAATGTCAATAACAGCATTTCAGTCACCACCAATTAAATGCTTCATTTTTTTTCCCCCCCCAAGCTTTTCTGTCCTCTGTGGGCCATATTTCTCCCCTGAAGGTTAGGCAGACTGCACAACACCCTGCGCTGCTCCATTTAGCTTTGCTTTTATCCCCTCTGCACTGGGGCACGACGACAGCCCATCAGGGAAAGACAATTCAATAATCTATAAACGCTGCTTAAAACTCAGGGAGATTTTGAGCTTTACCCTCGTGTGGAAGAGCACCTACAGGACTGTGTCTCTGGACAAGTTAGGGGAGGTCAAAAGAAGATAATGACACAGACTCAAGTTTAGATACCAACTATTTCCAGGAGTGACCTAATGCTTCCCAGAAACTGAGGCAGAAGGTGAAATTATTTTAATATCAGCCTGAGAAAAGTTAGCAGAAATAAGTCCCAAAAAATACAATCTAGGCCTGGTTCAACTTTTCTTAACCTAACACCCAGAAACTGAGGCAGAAGGTGAAATTATTTTAATATCAGCCTGAGAAAAGTTAGCAGAAATAAGTCCCAAAAGAGAGAAAATTTCTCCATCTGAAGGTAATGACACAGACTCAAGTTTAGATATCAACTATTTCCAGGAGTGACCTAATGCTTCCCAGAAACTGAGGCAGAAGGTGAAATTATTTTAATATCAGCCTGAGAAAAGTTAGCAGAAATAAGTCCCAAAAAATACAATCTAGGCCTGGTTCACTTTTCTTAACCTAACAGAAATTTGGGAGCACTTGGCAGGCCAGATACTTGAAACTAAGAAGCACAACACTCAGCCACCACCACCACACTGCAAAAAAAAAGAGGAAAAGAGCCCAAGTTACCCTTCCTTTCCTCCTCAGATATGTCATGGATCTTCTGGTTCACAAACTCTGCGTAGGAGGCAGCGTACCACACCTGCAAGAGGAGAAGAGATAACAGAACCCTTCCTTAGATGGAAAGGGAATGAAGGGGAATTCATTTGAAAATGGTTTTTAAGCAATACATTCGCTTCGCTCGCCTCGACCGCTCGCTCTTATTGCTCCTTTCAGCCTCAATAATAAAGCCTGGTGAGATCAATACGCCCCCACTGAGGAATAAAAGAGCTTTGCTCACAAAGCATATCCATTTAATTTTAAGGCACAGCCTCCGAATATGAATGTTAATCTCACACATGGCTACCAGGAGCTCGAAAGGAAATAAGATTAATCTCTTTGGACATGACTGTAGGATTGTAAAGGATAGATGTCAGCAGAGTACCGTTACTCGTTGTACCAAGACTGAAAAGTTCTTAGCTTGGGGGATTTCCCATTTATTTCCTGCTCTCTTTACATAAACAGGCAGCACCATCCACACAGACTAATTTAAAACGTTTCTGAACTTCAGAAGGATTGGAGCAATATGGTTTTCCTCCCCAAAACAAAAAACCTCCAGGTTGCAGAGTGCCAGAGACCTGCTTTTGCTGTACAAGGGATTTAGGGCACCTTCAGCAGAGAGAATCACAGGAGGCGTGAAGATGAAGTTCATGAAAGCCTAAAATCAGCTGCTCACATTTCACTGAGCATTCTTGCATCGTTCCTTATTTTATCTTATTGCTCGAGTAGAAAGGTTCAATTTTAAAAGATTTCTGAACTCATTGCTTGATTAGAAAGGTTCAATTTTAAAAGATTTCTGAAAGAAGGCATAAACACATTTTCAGCATGGAAAACCTGGGCAAGTTTCAACTTGTAGTGGGCCACGGGCATTTCCACAGCAGTGGTGAGTGGCATTTCTAACTCCTGTGCAGGAATCTCATGATCAGGACAAAGTCTACTCACCTCTCATGCAATACACAAGTTCTAGACTTCAACTCTCTCTATTTCAATCTTTGGACAAAGTTTAAATGAATGCCCTAAATCCACTTGCAGAGGAAAACACATCACAGAGCCTAGGTAATTCGCTTTCAATTCTCAAACCAGTTTTACCCCGAAAGACACATGAACCAAGAAAAATGCTGGGTCTGCATTAATTAATGCATTCATCTGTAATTAAATTACAGATTTAATTAAAGTCTGATTTCAAACTGATTTAAAAAACTGTTGAGAAAATGATGTTTGGATACACTTAAAAATGGATTAACGAGGGTTCTGGTGATTCAGCTAAAACAAATTAAGGATTTCAGAGAAACCAAAAAGAATCCTACTCTTAAAATTCAGCAACAAGTGTGTGCAAAGAGGCTTTTGCCCTGGTTTAGTTAACCTTTTTCTTTTTTATTTTGTTGAATTTTACATGCAAGAAAAGATTTAAAGAATTAATTTCCTGATAGCAGAGTTTTTTGGTTACCCCCAGTTCCCCAAAAGATGTTGAAAAGGGAGGCTGTCTCAGCCAGCCATGCTGCTCTGAGCTCCAAGAAATCACTACATTTTTAGAGGGAACAAAAAGTAACTCAAAGGCTGTCTCAGCCACCAGCCACGCTGCTCTGAGCTCAAAGGAATCAATACATTTTTAGAGGGAACAAAAAGTAACTCACAGGGAAGCCACAATATCCTTTTATCATTTTCCACATGCAAAGTTTCAAAAGTTCCAGGAAAGCCAGGGAAAGTGAGAGACCATATTCACTTAAGGCACCAGAAAACAAGTCAAGGGCACACAGGACTAAGTGGAAAGGGCATCCAGAACTAAAGAGAATAAGACTGCTGCAATAAAAATTAGATTGCATCAGCAAAATACACGCAGTGTAAAGCATGACAGTGACAGATAAATCATTTACATACTCTTATTTTAAAACTTCCTCATTTTATATCTGAGCCAAAGCTCATTTAAAGTCTGTAAGTCGGTGGCTAAGTGCTTTCCTGACTGCAGTGACATTTGATTCAGGCCATCGTGTGCTTTAGCAGAGGAAAAAAAAGCCCTAAAACTATTTACAGCAATCACTTCAAGATGCACTTCTTAGGTAAGAACTCTTAAGATTTGATTTCACAGTAGAAAAATAAGCCACGAGCAATGCCATACCTTGAGCTCCTGCTTGGGCTCCACATTTTTAATGGTTGTGTAGTAAATGTGGTGACCATACTGATAGGCCACCAGGTTCTGCTCCAAGTGGTTTTGAGCTGGACGCACAAACATCATCCAGTTGCAAAGAGCCTCACTAGAAAGTTCAAACCACAGGTCCTCTTGCAAATCTCTGTCTTTTCGGTCACCCTTATCCAGAGACACCTGTAGCAAAACCCAATTAAACCTGGCTGTAACCGTTTCAAAAAAAACAACATTAAACTACTGTAACCACCCAACTTTTACATTAGGAAAACAAAGAAGGCATAGTTAATGTTCTCACTTTGCTAACAAGGATCCAGAAGCAGGCAGCACTTAGAAAAAACCTTAAAAACAGGTAAGAGATTTAACTAGGGAGACATAAAAGAGCCTTCCACGGCAAGAAACATTCAAAGGGTCAGGCACAGAACCTGATGTGTGGCTATAAATGAGGCACAAGAAGCTTTAGTCGTCCTCACAGCATCAATTGGCAGATATTTCTACCTGGCAGACCCATTTCTGCTTTCATTTCTGGCCTCAGGACACTGCCTCAAGCTGGAAGCAGCATTTCTTTAACTAAACTTCCATCAGGTCACTGAATCTGCCTGTGGTCACAACTTGTCAGACACTGACCATCAGAGACCAGAGCTCCCAAGACTGTGGACCTGACCTCCAGCAAATAAAGCACCAATTCCAGTAATGAAACCAGTAAATACATGGATTAAAGTCAGTCAAATCCATCCTACCTCAATGCCAACGACTTGGCATGAGGAAGGAGGGGAAAAAAAAAACCTCTCCTCTCCCCTACATCTTGTGCAGGAGAGAAAGGAGATGAAAAACAATTTTAACTTGTTACAGCATCACACAAAATAATGGCTGCAAAACATCCCCAACATGAGGCTGCTATTTTTGTGGCCAGATGCTGCTTCAGCCCATGTGAGAGTGATTCACAGCAGTCCTATATATTATAAAGCTAAAATATTCACCACCATTATTGTGTCTGAAAAAAAACCCCACACTCCTCTCCCCTACATCTTGTGCAGGAGAGAAAGGAGATGAAAAACAATTTTAACTTGTTACAGCATCACACAAAATAATGGCTGCAAAACATCCCCAACATGAGGCTGCTATTTTTGTGGCCAGATGCTGCTTCAGCCCATGTGAGAGTGATTCACAGCAGTCCTATATATTATAAAGCTAAAATATTCACCACCATTATTGTGTCTCCCTGAATAACAGAGCAGATTTCAAGCCAGAGCAACGTGGGTATTTCTACATTACACTCAGAGGTGGAGGTGACAAAAGAACATCTCCAGTGAAGTAATTCATCAAGTCAGAGCAACCAACTCATGAAAAATCAAAGTTGAAGTACAATTTGGTCCCTCTTTTTCTCCCCCACACACCCCCCTTACCTTCAAATGGATATAGCAGTCTTTGAGTTCAGTTTGTCTGACCAGGGGTCCTTCCACAGGTCCAAACTGCGTGCGTTTGGGGATACGCCTTTTGGAGAAGACACCTCCCAAGAACCTGTCTATGTAGAGCACCAAGGGGAGGCTGGCTCTGGCCCTGGTCAGCACGGGCCGGTTTGGGATTGGATGCAAAGGTCCATGTTTGGGGCAGACAGAGGGATGGGCGTTATTACACTCTTCACACCCTACAACACAAAGTCAGAGAGGACACGACTGTCAGGCAGCAGCTCAGAAGAGACAGCCTTATCTCTCTCTAAACATCTCTGGCTCAGCTGCAGGAACATTTATTCCAATGGTCTGTCTACATTTTAAAACATGAGGGAGGGCAGCCTCCTGCAAAAGGAAGAACAAAGCAGCCCAGAGGCTCCTCCACCTGAGACAGAATCTCGTCCTTTCAGGAAAGCAGCTCTGAAGAAAAGGATCTGGGGGTCCTGGTGGACCCTGTGTAGGGAAGAGTGTGGCCAGCAGGTCAAGGGAGGTCATTCTCCCCCTCTGCTCTGCACTGGGGAGGCCACAACTGGAATCCTGCGTCCAGTTCTGGGCTCCCCAGTTCAAGAGGGACAGGGAACTGCTGGAGAGAGTCCAGCGAAGGGCAACAAAGATGATTCAAGGATTGGAGCATCTCCCTGATGAGGAGAGACTGAGAGAGCTGGGACTCTTTAGTCTGGAGAAGAGAAGGCTGAGGGGAGACCTTCTCAATGCCTACAAGTATCTCAAGGGTGGGTTGAAGGAGGAGGGAACCAGACTCTTTTCAGTGGTTCCCAGTGAGAGGACAAGGGGCAACGGGCACAAGTTGGAACAGAAGAGGTTCCACTTGAATATGAGGAGAAACTTCTTCACGGTGAGGGTGCCAGAGCCCTGGAACAGGCTGCCCAGGGAGGGTGTGGAGTCCCCTTCCTTGGAGATTTTCAAGCCCCACCTGGATGCTCCTGAGTAACATGCTCTGACAAGCTCTGGGTGGTCCTGCTTTGGCAGGGGAGTTGGACTAGATGATCTCTATGGTCCCTTCCAACTCTAAAAATTCAGTGAAATTCAGTGAAATATGCGTCTCTATTGCTGGGTATAAAGGGATTTAGTTATTATGGCTAAAATCTGAATGGTTTTCAGTTCCATTTACTAAAGGGCTGAGGGAGGGGAAAGAGAAAAGGGGAGTGCAACTAACACACTACATCCAACTTCATATGCTTACACAAATCATTGGGATCAAAGGGTCGAGGTGGATCCGGATCCCACTCATCCATGTCAGTGTCTTCCCCATCTTCATCCTCGTCTTCGTCCTCGTCATCTTCCTCTTTTGTTTCCATCCTTTCCATTTGGTTCTGCAGAGGTGCTAAAGGGTCAGAACCATCCACTGCCTCCATAGGAGGTAACACCTGGTTATGCACCGGTAACGATGCCTGAAGAGAGAGATCACAAACAATCAATCGGAGTCAATTCAAGAAGAAAAAAAAAAAACACTCTTACAAAGACAAAAATTGAAGGTTCTTCCTAGTCTACCCTTTCTGCTTCCTCTGGTAATGCAAAGGAGGACAAGGGGAAGTGAAGAGATATGATAAATGGCTGCTGTGTCACTACCTAGTGCTACACCCTGCCAAGGACTGACTTCTCGGGAGAAGAAACTAAAATCAAAGAAGTTCTGGAGCCTCACAAGAGGTTTGAAACAAAGTCCAGGCTCCGTAGAAATTACCTAGAGCCTAAAGCTGTATTTTAACTTCTACAAGGGAGAGAATCCTGCACTTTAGCACGTGATCTCTCCTATGGCACAATCAAACAGACACAAACCCCAGAGCACACACACACACACACAGAGATCAATGAGAGATGAGATCACACGGGGAGTGGATATAAACTACGGGACGTGGAGGACAGTTGAGGGCATTGAATCTGTCACCAATTTTCAAGTTTATCCCTTTCTTTCCCTACAAGAAAATGAAGGCAAAAAAAAAAGACTTGAAGCACAGAATATTCCATCACCCACTCGGGTTTCTGAGGTGGAGAAGAAGAAATATTACAGAGAGTAAAGCTCTTGTAAAAGACGGGCAGAGAGACCCGGTGGCTGGTTGCACCTTCTGCCAACCCTGCTTTTCCAAGCCCAGAAGAGTCTTTTGAGGTGGCTGCTCAAGCCAGAACAATCTGCAGACCAGGTTTCTCTGTGTATTAAATACACCATCTCACTACAAACACCCCACACGTCCCACAGTGAGACTATGAAAAACAGTACAAATCTGTGCTCCAGCTTCTCCCACATCTCCCTCCGTCTCGCTCTGACACGGTGCATCCCCCGAGACAATGGAGCAACAAAATCAATGTATTTGTATAATTTAAAATAAAAGGGTGCCTGGCAACTTACTCTATCTGCTTGTGGACCCTGCTGCTCCAGAGCCATTTGCTGGGGGGATTCGGCAACGTTGCCGAGCACGGAGAGGTTGGTGGGATTCATGCTCTGAGCAGCAGCAGGCAAGAGCACAGTTACCTAAAAATTATAGGCACTCAGTTTAGCGCCGCGGCATTTCCATCAGTCACTTACACCTGGGCAGTGCCCCTGCATGCAAAGCTCCCTGGAGTCCTACACTAGGTCAAAAACTGCAGCATTTTATTATTTTTTTTTAAATTTTTTTCCTATTAGGGGTGACGGACGAAGCCTGCAGATCTGGGGACAAAGGGAAAAGCTTCAAGACTCAGCCTAGATTTTGCAACTTTTGAATTTCTGGCTTTAAATTAAGGTCCTGTCCAGACTGAGTTCACACTGCACTCAGAACTGCAACTCTTGGCAAAACCAGTGATTTGGGGTCTTTTCTGTCTCCTAATTTACTTTAAGGGAAAAGATAAAGAAGGAAAAAGCGAGTTCACACTGCACTCAAAACTGCAACTCTTGGCAAAACTAGTGATTTGGGGGTCTTTTCTGTCTCCTAATTTACTTTAAGGGAAAAGATAAAGAAGGAAAAAGAAGCATCTCCTCTTTTTGCCCAACCAAAATCCATTATAAAACCTAGATGGTGTCTCGACCCCATTGGAAGACCAAACACTCCAATGAGAGGATTCCAACAATGATTTTTTTCTTTACATTATTTGGTCACACTATCCATTTTCATACTCATTTTTGTCTAGCAACGAGAAAATTAATGCCTATTACCATACTGCTCTCATCCATTCAGCGATAAAATAAAGCAGAATTAAGATCTCAAGGATCACCTTTCCTGTCTTTTTGTCTCCTGCTTATCTACACAGGAATTTGCACCCTTATCCCACATGATTTTTCCTCCTTCTCTGCAGTTGGCATCATGTGGCTTCCAGTTTGTGCCTCTGACTGTTAAACAGCTTTTATGCTAAAATTAAATCCCCTGCCCCTCTACAGAGCGCTTAATAAATATCTGATAAATCAGAGAAGAGCAAATTGTGCCAACTGTGAAGGAGCAGGCAAGAAAATCTGGCACAAAAGCGGAGAGTCTTAAAACTTCCAATCGAGTTGTTTTGTTTCTAGAGGTATTAGGAGGAATTTATGAAAGTGCTTAAAAACTACAGCAAAAAAGAGAACGGGGTGACAGCGAGCAGGAAACCGCCAAACCGCTGTCTGGTATTGACATTTGTGATGCCAAGAGGGACCAGAAAAGGCATCGTTTATTCCGTGGCACACCTCCAGGTCTGCCAGCACCCAGAGCTTCACACAAGCTTGTGTCTATTTGTACCTCCTATCAGCATTTCCTACCACTAATCACACTTCAAACATCTCCTTACTCTCACTTCCACGTCAGACACTGCAAGGAATAAAGGCTTTTTTTTTAAACAACCTTTCATAGAGTCATAGAATGGTTTGGGTTGGAAAAACAACCTTTCATAGAGTCATAGAATAGTGAGAGTAGGAAGAAACCTTAAAGATCATCTCGTTCCACCCCCTGCCCTGGGCAGGGACACCTCCCACCACAGCAAGTTGCTCCAAGCCCTTTCCAACCTGCCCTTGAACCCCTCCAGGGATGGGGCAGCCACAGCTTCTATTCCAGGCTCTCCTCACCCTCACACCAAAGAAGTTCTTCCCCACATCTCAGCTCCATCTCCCCTCTTTCAGTGTCCAACCCTTCCCCCTCCTCCTTGGGCTCCCCTCCCTGATCCAGAGTCCCTCCCCATCTCTCCTGTAGGCCCCCTTCAGGTACTGGGAGGCTGCTGTAAGGTCTCCCCAGAGCCTTCTCTTCTCCAGGCTGAACAACCCCAGCTCCCTCAGCCTGTCCTCACAGCAGAGGTGCTCCAACCCTCCCAGCATCTCCATGACCCTCTGCTGGAGCCGTTCCAACAGGTCCATGTCCTTCCTGTGTTGAGGACTCCAGAGCTGGACACAGTACTCCAATCCTTTCCATTTCTTTTTAAACTAAAGCATCTTTTGAAAGACAAGAGGAGGTGCTCTCATAGCGTTGGAAGGGAGGATGGGCTGAGGACATAGAAGTGCTCTTGCCCTTGAGACTCAACGTGCACTGTGCATCCAAGTAATATCTACTTTTAATTAGATCACATTCGTTAAATGAGCTTTAAGACAACTAAAAAGGATTTTTTTTGGCTTCTTAATGCAAGGAAACTGATGTGACAAAGAATTCCATAATGACATTCCAAATGGGAATTGGGGAGGGACTCTTTGCCAGGAAGGGTAATGATAGGACAAAGGGAAACGGTTTTAAATTGGAAGAAAAAAGATTCAGATTAGATCTCAGGAAGAAAATATTTACTCTGAGGGTGGTGAGACACTGGAACAGGTTGCCCAGGGAAGTTGTGGCTGCCCCATCCCTGGAAGTGTTCAAGGCCAGGCTGGATGGGGCCTTGAGCAACCTGGTCTGGTGGGAGGTGTCCCTGCCCAGGGCAGGGGGGTTGGAACTAGATGATCTTTGAGGTCCCTTCCAACCCAAACCATTCTATGATTCTATACCTCCAGAGAACTGGAAGAAAACAGGTAACACCTTTACTATGAGGAGAGGCTGAGGGAGCTGGGGGTGTTCATCCTGGAGAAAAGGAGGCTGAGGGGAGACCTTCTGGCTCTCTCCAACTCCCTGAAAGGAGGGTGTAGCCAGGGGGGGTTGGTCTCTTCTTCCAAGGAACAAGCAATGGGACAAGAAGAAATGGCCTCAAGTTGCTCCAGGGGAGGTTCAGATCGGAGATTAGGAAACATTTTTTACACAGAAAGGGTTATTAAGCCTTGGAATGGGCTGCCCAGGGAAGTGGTTGAGGCACCATCCCTGGAGATGTTCAAAAGAGGAGTTGACAAAGTGCTTAGAGACATGGTTTAGTGATGGGTTTTATCAGAGTAAGGTTGATGGTTGGACTAAGATCTTAAAGGTCCCTTCCAACCTGGACAATTCTATGATTCTATGTTAATCACATCGTTTCCTGCCTGTGCCTCGACAGTTTAGAGGGTCTGCTTTTCAGGAAAGAAATTTATTTTCAGGACACATTCAACCCTTCACTCTGCCCCAAGACTGTCAATAAATACACATTTTAACGATGGCGTTAGTAACGATTCAGATCCAAGATGTCAATTCACAAACACCATTAAAGACTCACCAAGCAGTGAGGACTTTTGTGTCTCTATGACTTCAATCTTAGGACTTAAAAGCGGAGAATTTGAACTAGAGATTTAGATCTGAAAGCACCTACACCTGATTACCACAATGCAGACCCCAAAGATACCAGTAACAACAAATCCTTCCCATCCATAACGGATGAAAACGAGAAAAATCATCACAATTTTATAAACACGGGCTCTGATTTTTTTTTTTTTTTATTCCTTGCCCACTTGACACTGGCAAGCACATCAGAGCTGGGAAGCCCCGGTAAGGTAAAGGAGCCAGTAATTTAACTTCTTCAGGTTTTACAATTAATTTCTTGTGAAGTTTCTGGTAAATCTAGAATTTCATCCAAAAATTCTATCCCTTGAGAGCCATTTATAAATTTAAAGGCGTTTGGATAAGAATCTGTACAGGGTCCTGGTATTTCCAGAATGACATTAAAATAAAGTCAGCCACCTGAGCTTGCTGACTTAAAAGGGACACTATTAGATGATTTTTCATTACATCTAGGGCAGTAAATTAGTATTTTTGTGGAACGTGACTTTAAAATACAAATCCCAGCTCACAGTCATTTAAGTTTTTAGTGTCACTCATGCATAAACTCACCAGGATGCCCTTGATCCTTGGGGTGACAATAAATAACTGAGGACTGGCACAAATTCAGAGATAGCTAATTATGCTCTCGCACCACAACAAGGTCCCTTTACCTTCAATAACAGTTTCCTTACAGTTGCAGGCCCAAGGAAAAGAATGTCTCTTTCTTACCTGCTGGGTGGTGGCATCCTGTTGGACGTAAGCCACTTGGGAGGGATCTGTAAACAGAGTCTAGACAAAGTGAAAAAGGTTTATCAATCCGGCCTGGGGGCTGCTTACTCCCAACTCACACAACAATCACCCTGCCACCAAGAAATGAGCCACATTTGATCCTTCACTAACTTCTAATGTCCCTATTAGACTAATAGGGACACAATAGACTAATTCAACTTACCCACAGGAACACACATGCATAGAGATTAAACTAAGATAAGGCAGTGCTCCGTGAAAAATAAATATATTTATGTGGCACTTTTCATATATATACTTAAAAGTGCTTCACGGGATTATTTATTATTTTTTTTAAATACAGAAATCACTTTGTCAATTGCTGATTTGATAAATTCTATAGAATTCAAGTCAATAGCTGTATGAAAGTAACACTTGAGGGCAGGACTGATGACAACTATTCACTTTATCTTTCTACAAATTCACAAGAGAGTTCCTCAAAAGCAAGCATGCAGATATCAGGCATATCCTACATCTGAATTTGATAAGGCCGATTTGATATGGCCATGTTGTTGGTTTTTAATTTCACAGAAGACATGCCAACTCCAATGTTCTTACAGCTCCAAGAACAGCCCTGATGGGAGGGCTTCCCCCCAGGAAAAGCCAGACTCAGATGAAAACTACGTAGTGAGTGAGGTCAGCCTGGCTTACTTTGCCAAAATGTGAGATATCTGACCTTGTAGCAGTCTCACTCCAACAAAATAAATCATGGCATAACACAAATCCCATTAGCACTTTGGAAATTTCATCTCAGTTGCATGAGAGTGTGCTGATACTACACCTATTTCGACAAAATTATAATATTCAGATTTGGAATTACTTTTCCAGTAACTTCCTGGGAGATTAGCTCTCCAAATACCCTCTCATATTGTTTTTATGTAACATCTAAGAAGTGCAGAAGAGACAGACCAGGGCTAGCACCTGCACTTCGTAGGGTTTCTAATCCATCCTGTCAGCAAAGACAACCTAAAACATTCTTGACAAAGCCTGCCTGCTCCTCTTTTTGTCTCTGCCCACACAGAGGTAGAGATGCACACTCTATTAACCCCATATAAACACACACTGCCAGAGAATAAAAGCTACTCGATACAATTGTGGAGAAAAAGAACCCAGGTCTAGGAAAAAAAAATAAAAAAAAATCAACAACTTCTCTGAAAAGAGACTGCAAAATTAGACTGAATACACATGCAGAAAGGCATGACTGTTATCGTAACTATCAATTATGAAAACTGCACTACGCAAAACAAGGGCTCTTCCAGAAGACACACAGATCACTCTAAGCTTTTTACTCAACACAACAGAGGCAGAATTTCTAGACAGATTATCCGTGTTGTCGAAAACACCTTTGATTTAATTATAATCTCATCCACCTTCGGCGAGATAACCAGCATTTCATCATTCACAGCCCCAACATCCTTTGATTACCCCATTTGCACATCAGACAAACGAGCAGCGTGAAGCCCCTGCTCAAGCAACGGGCAGATAAAAAGTGTGAAGAGCAACTGCCTGCTCTTTTTCCAGTCACTAACTGGAAATTGGTTTCCTAGGTTTCCCAAACTGGGGTGGGCTGGGAACCAACCGCACGTGCCTGCGTAGCTTCCACGGGGTGGATGTAAACCAGGGTGTGCTCCGAGGTGTCCACGGAGGTGTAGGAGGTGCCATCTGCTGTGTAGACCACCTGCTGCGAGGGCCGGTCCTGCTCGTCGCTGTAGACGATCTGTGCCACCGTGCCCCCCTCGGGGACAAAGTGCACCTGGAGGGAGGGGAAAAAAAAAACCCAACAGATCCTGGACTGAAACCTTTGGGGAAACGTCACGAGACACAGCAGTTTGAAAGGTGCTTTGGGAAGCAGAGGGTACAGAATCACAGAATCTTAGTGGTTGGTGAGACACAGCGGTTTGAAAGGTGCTTTGGGAAGCAGTGAGGTGGATTGAGAACTGGCTGTGTGACAGGACCCAAAGGGTAATTATTAATGGAGCAGGTTCAAGTTGGAAGCCTCCCAAAAAACACACCACACCCACCAACTAAACCCCACACTCAACACCTCCCCATAAACCAATAACCTTGGGCACTAGAGCATGCCCTGAAGAGCCATGTCTACCCGTTTCTTAAATACCTCCAGGGATGGTGACTTCACCACCTCCCTGGGCAGGCTGTTCCAGGGCCTGACCACTCTCTCAGGAAAGTCATTCTTTCTAATATCTCATCTAAATCTCCCCTGCCCCAACTTCAGACCATTCCCTCTGCTCCTGGCATGATTCCCTTGGGAGAAGAGGCCAACCCCCACCTCTCTATACCCTCCTTTGAGGGAGTTGTAGAGGGCAATGTGGTCCCCCCTCAGCCTCAATGGTTGAGGCAAGACCCCTCAACCACCTCACCAACTACAGTGGTGCTTGCCTGCAGACAAGCTACATCCCTGGAAGGATTCAAGGCCTCACCACCCTCACAGCAAAGAATTTCTTCCTGAGATCTCATCTGAATCTTTTTTCTTCCAATTTAAAACCGTTTCCCCTTGTCCTATCATTACCCTTCCTGGCAAAGAGTCCCTCCCCAGCTCT